TACTGGTTGTACTTATAAAGGAAGATAAAAGTATGACAATGACAATGATTTTATTCTCATAAATGTACAAACATACATTGTAGAGAGGAGGTAGGATAAGATACAAACACAGGAAAAAGAATATAATACATTTAAAATAAACAGTACAAAATATCATGTTAAGATTCAAATCAATTATTTCCATCTATAATTTGTTTAACAATCAACAAAACTTTGCATAATTTTTTCAATATTGAACAGTTTGTTGTTGAAAAAAGTTCTTTAAATTTCTCTATATTTGGTCTGCATATGAGATATTTTGAAATATATTTTAATCTAGCCTCTTTAATTTCTTTTCATGTGCATTCAAAAACATAATGAAATTCATCACCAATCTTAATAAGATCACATAAAGTACAAATCCTTTGTTCTCTTGGGAGACCATTCCATCTCCCAGTTTCAATAGGGAGTTTAAAATTGTTACATCTAAATTTACATAGCAAAGTTGATAATTTTCGAGGCATATTAACAAGATATCTTTCTGGTTCAAGTATTTCTTTATAAATTCGATAATTAATACCCTTGGATGAATTATAAACATTACTTTTCCAGTTTTGGATATTTTGGTCAACAAGTATTCTTTTTACTTCATTTTTAACCCATGCTACACTGTACATCTGCTGTGTTGTCCATAAATAAGATAATCCACATTCATCTAAAATATTTTTAACATAGTTGGCCCAAGACAAATTATGTCTTGATGCCAATGCATAAATTTTTGTAGCAAATTTATCCATCGTTTGTGAAAAATAAAGTTTTGCCCAAAAAGTAATCATTCTCACCTTAATATTAATGATAAGTGGGAATCGGCCAAGTTCCCCATATACCATGAATTTTAGCGTTTTAGTGTTCAAACCTAGGATATATTTACAATATTTTAAGTGAAGTTTTTCGGTCAAATTATTTTTTGTAAATCCCCATACTTCACATCCATATAATAAAACTGGTTGAACAATTCTATCAAACATATCTATCTGACAATCCATAGGAAGATTATGTTGTTTACACTTTGATATCACTCCATACATAGCTTTAACAGATTTATTGTATTGTTCTTTTATATTTTGATTAAAAGATCCCGATTTAGAAAAATATATTCCTAAATACTTATAACTGTCAACGATCTCTAGACTTAAACCATTATAAGTAAAATATAAATCCTGTGTTTTTCGGCCTCTTCCAAAAATCATTATTTTTGTCTTGTCAACATTCACTTTTAACCGCCATCTTATACAATATTCATGAAAACAATTCAACATATTTTGTAGTGACTCAGGGTTTTCAGCAAATAAAACAGTGTCATCAGCATACAACAGAGCAAAAAGCTTGATATATACATGAAGTTCATTCTCAATCATTTCAGATAGTTTCTCCAGACCAGTTATATTATTCATGGTGAGAATGATTCTAAATCATTAAATAGAGAGAAAACAGAAAAGGGGATAAATTTTCACCCTGTCTTACACCAAGCTGACAAGGGAAGGTGTCAGATAGTATACCATTTACTTTTAGTTTTTCCTTGATACCTTCATATATTTTCTTGATAATGCTAAAACATTTTCCATCTATATTACAATCAAATAATATTTTGTTCCAGAGTCCTATTCTCCACACAGAATCAAAAACTTTTTCGAAATCAATAAACGCACAAAAAATTCTTCTTTTTATCTTTTTGAATATTTCGATGATTGTATGCAAAGTAAATATATGATAAGTCGTACCATAATTTTTACGAAATCCAGCTTGATTTTCTTGTATTAGTTTGAATTCTTCTGAGTATTTATTAAGTCTATTATTTAAAATGGATGTAAATAGCTTTCCAACACAACATTTTTTCTATTATTTTGCCCTGAGTTTATTATTTTCTAGTACTCTTTCGGATTTGTTGATCTGAGTTTTTTCATTTTTTCTTTTGTTTGATTTTTATGGTTTTTTCAACACTTTTTTATATTTTTTTTTCTTTACCATACATATCGTCTTTAAGATCTTTACTTCTATATTTCTGATAGAGTCTTTTAGCTTTACGAAATATTTGTCGTGCGTTTTTACATTCCATTGTAAACCATGGTTTGCGAAATTCTATGTTTGTTTTACTACGATTATTATTTTTTATCCCAAATGTTTCTTTTGCACTCGATGTGAGAATGCTACATGTATCGTTTACAATTTTGTCAATAAATTTTAAATCGATTTCTCCCTCTTTAATGTTATCAAGAATTCCACTTGGACTTGGACTAGCATCTTGGACTTGAAACTTTGCAACAGCAATAAATAGAATAATGATCCTTGGTTTAGTCTCTTTTTGTGGCAAGATTTATTGCAATCAGACTAAAACTGTAGGAGGAGTAGCCTTTTAAAACAATTTTTTCAGAAATTTCGATTTAAGTAACCATGGCAATATCATTCAACAAAATAAACAAAACAATAACGACAATTATGTATCTCAGTGCAGTCTACTTGTTTCATCAAAATCGGTGACCATGCGTGGCAATGAAGTTTAAGTGGTTACAGTTACAGTTTAAGTGGTTATTAAAAACCGCGACCATTTTGGCGGATTTTTAATTGGACTTATAAACTCATTTATTAAATAATTGGTATATGTATATGTTAAACAAAGGAAAGGCCCACGGAAACGCCCCCAGAAGTGGTAATGCATTGCACTGCGGGGTATTCCTCTAATGTTTATAAATCCTTCATGAATTCTTAAATATTTAAGGATTTATTAACTAATAAGACTTAAATAAAGGTTTTGTACAACACGTTTTAATACCTTCATTACTAATTTATCATTAAGAATGATTCATTCATTAAATTTAATAAGCCGTTGATACAACCGGATCCTGTTCATTTTCAAGCCATCTGCATTATTCGTAAAAGTTTTAACGAAGCAAAAAAAAAAAAAAAAAGTCAACGCATTGTACAAATTGTGTACATTGTACATAACAGACAACTAAATGAAATGGAATGAAAACTAAAAGCATTGTAAGCTCCCCACGGATGGCCATCCTGAAATGGGGGGAGGCATACAATGTACTTATACAACATTTCTCAAGGTCACTCCTATATTCTTGGTTCATGATTCTCAGTAAGGACAAAGCTTGGTATCAGTTCAAATATTGGTTTATTAATTCATCTTACAACATGAAAGGATAGTATGGTAAACAAAAGTCTATATTGGATACATATAGATATATCAAGTAATATTTGTTATGGTCTGTGGCGTCAACCGTACTTTCAAGGGTAAAAGGGGTAGAGAAGTTGATTTGGAATTTAAAAGCTCTAAATATCAAATATCAGGTGTCCAGTGTGTTGGGAGATAATTGGCAGTTTTTCCTCACCTAGAATTTAGAATTTGGATGCTGCTGCTGCAACTTATCTGCCATAAACTGGCGAGGCGCTTATATTTATAAGTTTCTGAAGTAGTCATGTGACACAAATTAACGAATGAAAAAGCTGTACGGTGACGCTCGACCAATCACAGCATTGTACGGCGCCGTACAAACAGAGATCTGTCAAACAGTGCCAAACAACGTCAAACAAGGCTGCCGTACAATGTGGATTACAGCTACAAAACGGAATTAATATTTACATTTGCAATAATAAATAATATGATATGGATCTGGAGGATGTTTTCATCAACTGTAAGTAAGCATTTCATGTGAATTAAACGTATATTTCATGATAGAAAACTGCAATCGTACAGCAGACGATATTCAAATAGCTCTGACATAATAAAAATGTGTAACTACTATTAAATCCCCTTTAAAGTAAAACCGCTGATAAATCTTAGTAAAACATCTTCAAACATCAATTTTGTGGATATTCACAAACAATTATAACATCGAATTGCATGAAAAAGTAGAACTTGTTCAAATACGAAACTATGGCTAACACAAATAAGATGTCGGCGGGATGTAAACAACTTCCATGACTCCTGCAATCGTGTGCACTTGTGGCAATGTTAGGCACGTATTTAATTCAAATATAATTTTGAAAAATACAGTAACATGGAAAGGTTTTAAAGGTATGTACTTCAATTCATAGGATGGAGGATTTCCTGTATAAATGAATGCAACAAATATGTCAAATGTGCTATAAATAGACGATACCACGTTCTGTTATTATTCAGATAGCGGTGTAGTTTATGCGTAATGAAGTCCACCCTGATAATAATCCCAATAAATGATAACACATTTCAGTCATATAAAAAAAATAAACTAATTAATTAAATTCTACTCCATGGCCATTACAGCATCAACAGAATAAACATTTTGACAATTTAGACTTATGAATTGCTTTAAAGTAAAAATCAATGCCCTTTATAAAATCCGATAACAATGCAATATTAAAAAAATAATTTAATCTAAAAAATAAAATAATTCGGACCTTTAATAATATTTATGACAAAAAAGTTTTCATTTCAATAATTATGTTTTAAGTACATGTAGCTACATGTGGGTACAATTGTACCTGTTCAGTTACTTCGCACTACCATATAAAAAATCACACGTGCATATTATTGACCTGTTTTTTACTGCGCAGTTACCGACAATATTTTTAAAAGTCCTCTTATATAAGTGATCAAATTTGATTTTTTTAAAGTACTGTGTTATTATCAAAATAAATATTTAACAAATTTTATGTTTTACGACTATGACGCAAAAAGTGTAATCCAGCAATTTTGAATTTTATTACGGATCTGATTTTTCAAATTAGCTGTCTCATTGATTATTAGACCTTTTGAATCGCCCATTACCCCTAGCAACAATATTTGAAAGGCTTTAATTTATACTGAAATGTAAAAGATGTGACTGAGTTATTAATTCATTTGAAAAGCATGCTGTACTTTTGGACTTGACATCATTAGAATGTTTTGCATAACGGATATTTGGACATAAGACGTGGGTCGTACA